GTTGCAGTACTTTTGAATTTCCAAAACTGTTATCACAATGCAAGTTCCAACTTGAGAGCAAGAAAAACGAGAGTATACACTGAGCACATGTATCTCCGTGTGAGGGTGTGTGAGTGAAGGTGTATGCACAAGTCTATCTCTATATATAATTATGTACACACATATAAAAACGAAACACAAGACATCTGATTTACGTTCATACATTGGTCCTTGCCTTCCGGAAGAGGTGCTCCGTGGGGTCCCGCTTCCTTTCTCCTTCACCCGAAGATGAAGTCCTCTCTGTGGACCAGCTCCAACACCCAGGCTCCTGGCTGAAGGCGGACGGCGGCCCGGGCACATTGAGCAGTCCTGCCGGGTCCTCCTGCTCTCGCTGGCTGCCACCTTGGACTCGTTTCCGAGAAGTTCCAAAACGGACTCCAACAGCCTTGGTGGAGCCCTGCCTGTGGGAACCATCGGCCTACCACACCCCAGACGACCGCTCAGTTCATCTCAGACATGCCCAGACGCAGCTTGAGGAAGAGCCAATGCCAGCGGGGAGGGCAGGGCTTGCAGCTTGGCCAGAGTCGCGGCCCACGGCCTGGCTTTGTGCAGGCTCAGGGCAGCGAGTCTGGGTCTACCTGGACTGCTGGCCAACTGGGTTACACTGCCCTGTGGGAAGGGAGCATGCTCTTCCAAGATCTTTCAGGTCCCTCAGGGATGAGTCAGAAATGACAAGGACAGCTCTCTGGGGTAGGTCCCGATGCCCTGGGCAGCCTCCTAGAGACCCCATGTTAACTCCTCTCAGGTGACTGCAGTGCGGCCACAATACCCACAAAAGTATATGCACAAAGATCCCAACTACACCGTGCCAGTGGAGTGGAAACACGCCAGGAGTAAGCTTTTCCCAAACAGCACCGGCCCCGTAAGCCACAGAGGACCCAAGAACACGCATCTTTAAAGGCAGTCATCCTGCAGATAACCCTGCATTCCCCGGTCACAGACGGGCTGATTCCATGGGAAACACCCCAGCAAGAGGACTCAGGGTGGCACCCAGCCCGGCCTCACTCACTGGGTCTCTTAGACTCAACCCAGCTAGGTGCTACGGGAGCTGACGGCTGGAGGGTTGATAAAAACATTTTCAGAACTAAGCGAGAAGCCCCAGTCTGTAAACCACACCCGTCACCACAGCCCACAGCTGCCAAGCACCCATCCTTCGATGACCTCTCGTTCTGCCAGTCACGGGGTGGGCATGGGGAAAGCAAGGCTGACTCAACCGACCAAGGTTTTCAGGGAAGAGAAAGAGAAGCAGAAATGACTCCCCAGGGCCTGCTGCGAGCTCCCTGTGGTCCACGAGGCCTGCACCTCAACTCCGGGCCGTGGCTGACCCCACTCTGGCCATGGAAGGACAGAATTAGAGCTGCCTCTTCAGAGACTGTTTTGTTCAACCAATGTCAGATTCAACCACATTGGTAGGGCCTGGATGGTGAGGCCTGGTTGGTCTGGGCCACATGGCCCGGAATTAGAGCCTAATTCAGTTGGTCGGTCAACTGTTTTAATTTACTGGGCTCGGGGGAAGGAAGGCAGAGGTGATGACAGGTCAGAGAGATTAGGAAGGAGGGGGGTGTGGAAAAGGTTCTCTATAAGTTTACAAATATACAAAAACAAAAAGCACATCTTTCAAATAAAAATGACTACATTTTTATCTGGCAAAAAGTTGTATACACATGATTTAAAGTTTTTTTTTAAATTTTAACAGTTTTTGGCAATCTTAATAAAGTACAATATATTACAACCAAACCAAAAAATAGTTGTTTAAGTAACAGCTGTTAAGAGTGACGTGATCCCGGATGCCCAGCCACCCTCCCCACCCCACCCTACTCCTAGAGACAAAGAGAAAAGAAAAGTCCTCGCATCCTGATAAACTCGTTTCCCACCCGAGGAAGCCAGCCAATAGGAAGCAACACAGCAAGCGTGTGTCTGTCTAGGAAGCCCGGGCGGCCCGGCTTGCTCGCACTAGCAGGAGCAGCCACCCTC